TCCGTCCGTCCGTCCGTCCGTCCGTCCGTCCTCCTCCCTTCCTCCCTTCCTCCTTTCCTGGTCTCTCCACTGTTCCCTTCCGCCCTTTCTCCCGTCCTCCCTATCCTCCCTTCCTCTCTTCCGCCCTTCCTCCATTCCTCCCTTGTGCCCGTCCTCCTTTCCTTCTTCACTTCCACGCTCTCCCTCTCTCCCATCCTTGCCTCCTTCCCTTCCTTCCTTCCTTCTCACCCTCCTCCCTCGTCTCCTCCTCCCTCTCGTCTCTCCTTCTCCTCTGATCCTCCTTCATCCCTTCTCTTCCTATCTCCCTCCTCCTCCTCCTCCTCCTCCTCCTCCTCCTCCTCCTCCTCCTCCTCATCCCTTCCCTCGTTTCTTCCCCTTCCTTCTCCCATGCCTCATCCGCATCATCCTTCAGCCATCCTCGCCACTTACTCCTTCACTCATTCCCTCACTTCCTGTTATTATCTTTTAACCTTCCGCTTCCTACTCCTCCTCGTCGCCATCATCCCAGCCGACGCCGACGCCGTCGTCCCTCGAGATCCGACGACGCGAACAACAAATTATCCCAGTGCGACCCTGCCTAAGGGGACGTAACTGGGGGAACCGCGGGGCGGATATTGGGGGAACCGCCCGGGGCGCTTTCCACTGCCCGGCCCCTTTAAGCCCAGAGAGTAAGAACCCTTCCAGGCAGAGCCTACCCATCGGTCGGAAGAAGTAGGTAGAAACATGAAGTAGGGAGGCGTTGGAAATAGATTGGGTTTCCGCACGCCTCCTGAAGAGGAAGGAAGAGGGAAAACCACTCGACTCTTGAAGTAGGAAGGCGCTGAAAGTATATTGGAATCTGGGAATCCAAAAATACCTACTCAACGACCGGTGGGTAGGCACGGAAGAACATCGTCGTGAAAACTCACGACCGGAGCCCCAGACCCCATCTTCCTGCGGGATGCCTGCAGCCCGCTCGAGCCGCGAGGGCCCCGGTGCCCCACCCAGAAGCGCGACAACGCCCAGCGTGAACAACATGCGACGTCCAGATCTCAGGGTGCGGGGGGTGGATCCCGTCCTCGTCGACGTCGCCGTCGCAATCGTCGTCGTCGTCGTCGTCGCCGCCGTCGTCGTCGTCGTCGCCGCCGCCGCCGCCGTCGTCGTCGTCGCCGTCGTCGTCGCCGCCGTCGTCGTCGTCGTCGTCGTCGTCGTCGTCGTCGTCGTCGTCGTCAACGTCGCCGTCATCGTCGTCGTCGCCGTCGTCGTCGCCGCCGCCACCGCCGTCGTCATCGTCGTCCTCGTCGCCGCCGTCGTCGTCGTCGTCGGCGGCGGCGTCGTCGGCGTCGTCGGCGCCGTCGTCGCCGTCGGCGGCGGCGGCGGGCCGCGCGCGCGCTCGTGCGGCGCAGCAGCGCCGGCGCCAGCGGCCCCGAAGCGCAGCGGGGCCGCAGGGGCTCCCCGCCCTCCCCGGGGGCCCCCCGCCCGTGCCCCTCGAGGGCGAGAGCGCAGTCGTGGCGCGGTGGGCTCGGGGTGCCCCCGGGTCCTGGCGTCGCGGCGCGCGTGGGTCGGGCGCCTTCCCCCGAGTTCGGGCCCCGGGGCCCTCCGGGGTCAGCTCGGCTCGAGCGTGCAGCAGCAGGATGGGGCCCGTGGGGCTCCGGCCGCGACTTTGCCACGAGGTCGGAGCGGGCTTCGCGTCGGCGGAAGTCGAGGACGTGCCAGGACTTCGGGAGTATCTGGCGGCCCTCGTTTCTGCAGCCCGCGTGGAACAGACTCGGACACTCTGGAGCTCGGGGATAGCTCATGCGGGCCCCAAGAATATGCACCACCACCACGCCGATTCCTCCTCCCTCCTCTAACCTCATATTCCTTTCCGCTGTCCTGGGGGAGGGAGGGAGCGAGGGAGGTGGTGGTGGTGTCTCTGTTTGGGCCCCGTAGCTCAGCAATCGTAGGATGCCTGATGACCTCCTGCTCTTCCGAGTCCTGTCTGGCTGCTTTGCAGGCGAGCGGGGCTGCCGGGTCTGGCTCGCGAAATCGGATCGCGTCGGAAACGGGTCGGACCGCCAGCTGGATCGCCGCGTCTGGCTCTGGCTGGCCCCGGCCGATGCTGGCGAATCGGGCCGGATGAGAATCGCGGCCCCAACGACGGCGAATCGAGCCGCATCGAATCGGGCAGCCCCAATAGCGTGTCATTGCTGAAAGAGCGCCAGGCCTTTCTGCGCAAAAAAAGGCAAGAGGGGCCATTGCACGGCCGGTTTGGGAGCCGACGCGCGTATCACTGACACTCCTTATCCCTCTCGAGTCCTCGTGCGCGCGCACGCGGGGTCCGCCCCCTTGAGATGTTCGCGCCGCAATTTGCCATTCACACCAGGCACCTTCGCCCCGATTCTGGCCCCCGCGGGGCCCGCTCGACAGGTGCCGCAGAAAGACGAGGCCTCCCGAGGGGCCAAAGGAGTCCGCTGGTGGGCCTCCCGAGGGCTTCTGCAGAGGTCTTTCGCCGGCGGCGAGCGAGGGGGGAAGTGAGAAGGAGAAGGCCTTCTCCGAAGCCGGCAGGACTTCTCAGAAGCCCTCGCGCCCTCTTCGAAAGTCATCTGTGTGACTCTGGGGAAGGCTTAGGACACTTCTCGGAAGGCCGTGGGACTTCCGAGCCTTCTGAAAAGGCCCGCCCCTTCTCACTCTCCCCCCCTCGCTCGCCGCCGACTTCGTCCTCGGAGGCCAGGGAGGTCGCGGGTGCCGATCCGGGGGAACAGGGGGACGGCACGCCCAGTCCAGTCGGCCCAGCCAGGGGGAGGGGAGGCCCTGACCTGCCAGGAGGCCTGCAGCACAGCACCAGGGCCTCTCAGAGACTCTGAGTTACATGCGTCCTGGAGGTCCTGAGCAATCCTGATGAGTCTTGAGCAGTCCTGAGCATGTGTGCGGATGAGGGGTGGCCAGGGGGCATCTTGCAAAAAGAGCAGGGGCCATGAAATTTGGGAGATCGCATGACCCTGGCCATCAGACATCCACACGCACACACACGCACACACACACACACACACACACACACGCACACGCACACACACACACACGCACACACACACACACGCACACACACACACAGCCATCGCACTCGAAGGGGAAACCAAGAGGTACCTGTCCCGCTAATCACTCCCCGGACCTCTCTCCCAGGGTGCGTCCTGACTCGAATCTCGAGGCGAATCCCGCGGTGCCGGCGAAGGCCCCCCCAGGAGGCCCAGCACGGCGAAGACGAGGAAGGGGTAGCGGCATGGGCCCCTCTCATTCCGCTGGCCCTCCCCCGACGCCCCCGACGGATGCTGCTGCTGCTCCTTGGGCGCGGGCCTGGGCTGGAGAAGCGGGCCCCCCGCCGCCGCAGGCGCCCGGGTCCGCCTCGGAGTCCCGGCGAGGGCGCGCTCCAGGAGAGGCCCGGGATCGGCACGGCTCCGAGCCCATGTGAGCCCATGGGCATCCGAGTCCATGCGGCTATCGAGTGGGTCTGGCATCGAGTCAGCTCTAAGCCCCTGCGAGCCCCTCACCGGGCCAATGGGCTCGAGCCCATTCGGCTGCCGAGCGGGCCGCCAGATTCACACCACTGCCCGGCACCCGGCCGAGTGGGCTCGGACGTCGATTGGGCTCCAAGGAGACCAGGGGAAGTGGCAGAATCGGGAGGGGGAGAGGACGGGAAGGGGGAGTGGGACGCAGAGGGGTCGGGGTAGGGTGAGGCGGAGGGGTCGGGATTCAGAAGGCGAGGCGCGGCGAGCGTGCGGTACCGCCGGGAGCGGAACCCTTGGAGGCCTGCGCGGGGGGGGGGGCCAGAGCCCTCAGATCTTGTTGTCCGCGTCGTGGCATCCTATCGCATATTGTTACATGGTGCCCTCGAGCCCGGGCCAGGAGGGGCAGGCGGAGGATCAAAGACAAAAAGCGCCTCGTCTTCCACCCAGCGACACACGATGGTGCCGGGCATCCGGGGGCGAGGGACCAGGGGGCCAGTCACCATTGCTTGATGACATGGCGGATCCAGGCATTTGGCATGATGTTGTAGTACCAGGACTCGCCCATGAGGAAGAGGGCGAATGCCAGCGGGAACACGGCGACCACCCTGCTCATGACTGGCAGCCACTCCTGCAGCCACTCGTGACTCGGATCGAGCGCCGGGGACTCGGGGAGCCGGAAGTCCGCATCGATATCGAACACCGACTCCACGAACTGGTACATGAGATCGTCGATGCTGTTCACGAAGACGATGGCCATGGAGGAGTACAGGATGTCGGGGACGGCCTGGAAGCTCAGCACCACCGCCACGCCGCCGAAGAGCACCCAGAGCGTCACGACATACTGCCCCGCCGCCATGAGCATCAGGAAGACCTTGGGCACCCGGAACGACTCGGCGTCCAGAACCAGGACCACCTCGTCGGTGGAGAGCCCGGGGAGGAGGTGAGAAGGGGCGGGCCTTCCCAGAAGGCTCGGAAGTCCCCAGGCCTTCTGAGAAGCTTGCTAAGCCTTCCCCGAAGCCACTGACAACTCATCAGAAGGCCAGAGGGCTTCTGAGAAGTCCCGCCGCCTTCCGAGACGGCCTTCTTCTTCTCACTTCTTCTCACTTCCCGCCGACCTTGAACAACTGCATCGCCTGGGATACCTCAGAAGACACGGCTGCGGCCATGAACGCCACCTGGATCCACTTCATGCAATTCACGCTCCAAGTCGTGCGCTTCCACGGCGTCGACGGAGTGTCTGTGATCGGGTCGGCGTTTGGGTCAATGTCGTGGACAAGAAGAAAGATAGTGAACATCTGCAACGCTCCCAGCAACAAGTTGCATATACCCACCGCCAGGCAGGACACAGGCTGCCTGCCTGGCATCTGGGCCTTTCCCAGGGCGACGACGGCGAAGAAATTCCACATGTTCTGGGAGAGCTCTCTGCGGTTCCCATGATCGACGAAGGCTAAAGACACCGTGGAATGGGCATAGCGCAGCTCATCCGAGTCCGAGCCGCAGCTCCCGTGGCGGCTCTGTGCCCACGTGTGGTACACCCAGACCGAGAGCGCGACGGCGACGATACCCCAGTAGATCACGAAGAACTCGCCGAACATCTGCAACTCCTGCCAAAGCCGGGCAAACGGTGTGGCCAATTAGCGATGTGGCCTGGTTTCTGGAATCTTCGAAGATCCAGCTCCGATCCAGGCACTCGCCGCACGAATAACCTCCTTTTGGAAAGATGCTAGCAGATTCCCATGCCAACCTCGCCGGCAATGTTGCACCACACAACCCCGAGGTCCGACGACGCGACAAACACCGAAATGACATGTCAAGCAAACTCGCGACCCGACCCCTCGACCCCATCTTCCTGCCTCGAGCCAGAGATCGGCCCGTGAGCGGCCCGCCGGGCTCGAAATGCATCCCAGGGACAGCGCAGGCGGAGTCCCAGAACCAGCCTCGCCAACCAGAGTTAGGTCGGGCGTGTCCTCTTACAGGCGGATTTTTGGACGAACAGAAGAAACAGTCCAGAACTGCTCACAAAATGCCCAAACATACTCCACAGATCGTCCCCATACTATCTCCCAACTGTCTTTGAATATTCCTCCTGTAGAGGGACAGTGAAGGGGCCCGAGGACACACAAATAAACGCACACAAATGAAAAGATTCCCCATATTTTCCCATATTTCCTGGGTTGTTGTCTTCCCCCCACTTCCCATAGTTACCCATATTTTCCTGGGGATCGACGATTAATTGTGTCTGTGTGTCTTTTCCCCTCCTGAGACAGGCCCGACTCAAGCCAGAGCGCCGCTGCGGGCCGCTTCGTGTGCCCGCCCTCGGTGCGGGGGGCCTCACGGGCGCAGCACTCCCCGCAAGCGCGCGCCCGCTATGGGGAGGACAGGCGGCCCCGGGCAGGACCGGAGAGCACGCCACAGCTCGTCCCCACACTGTTTCCCAACTATCTTGGAATCTTCCTCCTGCGGAGAGACAGGCCCGACCCAAAACCACAACGCTGCTGCGGGCCGCTTCGTGCGCCCGCCCTCGGTGCGGAGGGCCTCGCGGGCGCAGCACTTCCGCGCCCGCGCGCGCCCGCTATGGGGAGCACGGGCGGCCCCCGGGCAGGGCCGGAGAGAGCACGCGCCCAGGCCTGCCCCCGGCAGGCGCCAGGTGGTCCGCCGCAGGGCGACGAGGCAGCGGCAGCTCAGAGCCGCTCTCGGGGCCCCTCCTTGACTGCCTGCCAGACCACCCCAACCCGACCCGAAGACCCGAATTTCGGGTTGGGGGGGGTAAGGGTTCCACATGTGCTTGTTCGATGTTTCCCGACCCCCCCCCCACTAGAAATCGAGGGTAAATCTGAGCCTTCGGGTTGGGTTGGGGTGGTTTGGTGGGTGGTGACTCCTGGGGTCCAAGGGGGTCCCAGGCGCGCCGACGTGCCCGAGCTGCGTCCAGCCGAGGCGGCGAGGGGACCCCACGACGGCCAACCACCTCGAGGCCAACCTGCGTGGACATCGTGGCTTTCGGAGGTGTCCGCGCTGACCTCTTGGATCGGCGCCGCCAGACGGGCTCCGGCGCCGGTCCGAGAGATCCGCGCGGGCCTCCAAAGACGTATATGTCTGTGCCGGTGGATGTTTCTCGACTGCCGCTGCCTCCGCTCGCCCTGCGCCGAAGCTCTTCGGGACAGGAACTTTTAGTTCCTGCTTCTGCTGTGGTCACAGCGCGGGCCTCCCGTGGCCATTCGTGACGATCTGGGCACCCCCGGAACGCTCTAGGCGGGGCGCGGCCGGCGGAGAAGGCACCCCGAGGCTGACGAGCCGCAGCGAACCGACGGAGGCAGCCGAGAAGCCCGAGCCTCGAACCTGCTGCGGGTAGGACAGAAGCTCCCTCCCTGCTGCTAGCAAGATCGATTCCGCCGGGGTGAGCGAGGGGCCTGGCCTTTAGCTCGGCATCCACAACTCCATCCCCGGGACTGGGGTCTTACATACTAAGCGTGGCCATGGGGGGTGGAACCTGACTGGGGCGGGGCAGGAGTGGTACAGTAGGGGTCTTGAAGAAGAAACCCTTTTCGTTGGGGAGGGGCTCCGTGTTCCTTGATTGTTTCACAGCTTGCCTCAGGTTTTCCTTATGTTTTCGATCGGAATTCGAAGTTTACCTTATGGAAAAAAGGGGCCTCGTTCCTTATTTCGGGTTCCTTAGGTCAACGCCCCTTCTGTATGCAACAAAACCTGCAGGATCCCTTGATCTGGTCCTGCGCCTCGCCCGCGGAGGGCGCCGCACCTGCCGGCGGCGAGGGCTGCCGCCACAGCGCCAGCGGCGGCGGCCACTGGGCCTGGCCCCGCGCCTGGGAACACAAGGAGAAACGACGCCACCACTGCCGGGAACCGGAACCGCTAGCGGATGGGCCAACTCTCCACCACCGCTACCACAGGCAGCTCCTCCTCCAACTCTTCCTCCTCCTCCTCGTCTTCCTCCTCCTGCTCTTCCTCCTCCTCTTTATTATTTTCCTCCTCCTCATCCTCCTCCTCCTCCTGCTCCTGATCCTCATGATCCGCCTCCTCCTCCTCCTCCTTCTCATACCTATGAAAAAGGTGGAAAACCGGTCAATCAACTAGCGGGAGGAGCTAGTGGGGGGTCCCCTGGTGGTGCGGTCGCCCCCCGCTCTCGCCCGAGGCCTCCCCTATCCCCAGCTCGGGGAGACATCGTGTACCTCCTCGTTGGAGGTGCCCCCCAGGTGGGCGCGTGGGTCACATTGCAACCAGAGCGGCCACTTTACAACCATGCGGGGCAATTTACAACCAGCATGGGCTTTCCCGGAAGGGCACTTTACAACCAGGAAGGCCACTGCACAACCAGGCGAGCACACGCACACAAGCGACACATGTTTTCAATTTCCGGAACCTCCGTGGGTCCACGTAAGGGAAACACTTCGCTCTCTGAAGCGCGTTGGTGGTAAAGTAACCCGTGTTCAGCGAAAATCTGTGAAGTGGCAAATTCCGAATGGAATCCAACAGGAATCCGATTGGAATCCTAGCGGCACCCTTCCCACTGGAACCTGTCGGCACCAGACGAATCCCATTGGTATCCAACAAGATTCCTCGACGTGGGGCCTACGGGCGTCGTATTGGAATCCGATAGGGGCGTTTCCTATTGAAACCCGTTCGGGCCCTCCCTAATCGAAACCGAAGTGAAACCCCATTGACTTACAGTCGAAAAACCTTCTTATTGGAATGCTGCGGGAAACGCGCTGGGGGTACTGTATGGAAACCCAGTGGGTATGATTGTGGCTTCTTATTCGAAAACAGCAGTAACCGTCTTTCTTGCAATCCCGTCAGAACCAGATTGGCGCATACGAAGGATATTGGATTGGAATCCAATCGGGGTCCTTCAATTTCGATCCATACGGGCATACTACTGGGATCCCACCGGGACCTGATTGTAACTCAACTGAAACTTGTCCTCTTTGACTTATATTGTGCCCGGATTGGCGTCCCATTGTTATCCTTGTGGTATCCACAAAAAGAACTATTGGAAGCCAACTGAGATCCAACAGAGACCATCCCGCTACAAGCTGGTGACAGGCCTGGGCGGTTAAGTGTGTTTGGTATCCGTGCCCAAAATCTGTACCGTTTTCTGGAGCCTCATAACCTCTGCCTGAAATCATGGTTATTCTGGAGATCGAGAACCGCAAGCGCTCCCAGGAGACGGACATGTGGCCAATAAACGTTGGTAACCTTTTAACCCACGCATGCGGACTTCTGATTGGTTTGCAACATCAACAGATATTGCCCTCGCGCCTCATCGTCTGGCAACGACGCAACCGTATGTTTTCGCATGTGCGGAAGCATGCGCGCTCAGGGAGCAAAAATGTGGCCAAGAAATATTTGGACAACGTCTAGGCACTACATGTGGACTGCAAACGGATATTTGCATGAGTAACCATGATTGCCATCGCGCCTCATCGTCTGGCAATAGCAAAACACATGTTTTCAAAAGTGCGGAAGCATGCGTACCCAGGAGGGCAGACATGTGGCGAAACCATATTTGGTACAGTTCTTGCCGAAACGTGGGGATTTCAATGTGTGCGCTTCGCCGCACACACAACTTTCGTCCTCGCGCCTCCTATTGGCGATGACAAAGACGTATGGTTTCACATTCGCGGTCGCATGCGTACCCAGGAGGACGGACATGTGGAAACGAAATCGATGGTAACACTCTAGCCAATACGTGCGTATTTCAAATAGCGGCGTTTGAATCATAAGCCCTCTTTTTCCTCGCGCCCCATCGTTTTACAATCACGAAAACCGCATGGTTTCGCAATTGCGAACATGCGTACCCAGGAGGGCCGAAATGTGGCCAAGAAGCGAATGGTAACATTCGAGCCACTACGTGTGGATGCCAGCTTGTTGTTTTTGGCCTCACAGACAACGTTCGTCCTCGCGCTTCATCGCCTGGCAAAAACTATCCTGGCGAAGGACCCAACCATATGCAGTTGTGAGTGCCGCAATTGTGAATATCTTCTTCGGTGGCGCTCCCTATGGGGCCACGAACCGTACGAAAATGTGCCGAATTACGTGGCGCAGCCTCTGCAGAGGCCCCCCTGGGAACTCCGACGGCAGCGCCCGCGCGCCGCGACGCCCATGTCGGCGCGCCCCGCGCGGGGATCGCGCCCGCTTCCCCCCCCCCTTTTTCCTTTCCCTTTGTCCGCGCACTCCAAAGTCCAAGGCTGCGGGCGCAGCGCGTGGCGGAGCCCTCGCGACGCGCGCAGGTAGCCCCGAAGGGGTCGCAGTGACGCGCGCGGTTCGCACGCTGTGTGGAACAGGGATTGTTTGCTGGCTAACTGATAGCGCGCGTGGCTCTGGCCGCCGGGCGGAGCGACGACGGGCGAACGAGGCGCTGGACAGAGCGCAGCGCGGAGTTCGCGCGACGCGCGCTGATCGCCCCGAGAGGGCCCCAGCGACGCGCGCAGGGCGTCCGCGGTGCGAGGCCAAACAATTGGACAGCCGAGAGAAGGCGCGGCTGTGGCGGGCCGCTCCTTGGGTCAGGCCTCGCGGATAAACTCGGTGACGCCATGCTCACTGGCGAGGGCCGTGGCTTCCCTCCTGCACCGCTTCGCGCGCGCCGCAAACTGCTCCAGCTGCTTGCGCAAGCCCTCCGGCGGCCCGGCCAGGAAGAACTCGATGCGCGGCGCCCGCGCGAGCAGGAGGTCCTCGTGGCGCGTGGCGCGCGAAAGCAGCGCGTAGAGCTCCAGCCACCAGTCGTCGTCCTCCTTATGGCCGTTCCCGACCTCGTGGCGGCCGCAGTCCAGGGCCACGCCTGGGCGACGTCGGCCGAGGGAGCAGCGCGCCGGGAAGCCGACGGCCCAGGGCGAGAGTCCACAAGACAGAAGGACGGCCGCGGACTGCTCGCGCCCCGGAGGTCTGGCCGTCCCCGGAGCGCCGTTCCCCCCGCCCCGTCGCCTTCTCGCACGGTGCGCCCCTGACGCGCCACCGTGGTGATGACCCTGCCGTGCGAGAACGGGACGCCCGTCCGGGTGACCTTGGAGGTGCGGAAGGTGAACGGCCCCGACGCGCGGGGCTCGATGAACACCGGCGAGCCCGCGAGGTCCCCCGTGAGGCTGTCGTCGCGGCGCTTCAGGTCGTCCACGAAGGGCGCCGCGCTCGCGTACTTCTCCATGCGCACCCAGAACCCCAGCGGCACGCGCTTGAGGTAGATCCTCTTCTCCCCGGCTCTCTCGGCTTTCTCGACGTCGTCCCGATCCCGAGGGTCCGCGACGACGTGCACGATCTGCCCCTCGGCATCCTTGACGAGGCCGTTCTTGAGGTCGAGCGCTTCCAGGAGCCGGATCCGCATGCCCACGTGCACCGGGAGCAGTCCGTGCGTGCCACCGGTGTACTTCGGGTTGGCACAATTCAGCATCTTGGCGGCGCCCCTTGACGCTCATCGTCGGTGCAGACCTGTCGGCGGCCTGCGCGAGGAAGAGGGGCTTCTTCAGGACGTCCGCGCCCCGCTGAACACGCATGTTCATCCAGCGCGCCACGGCGTCCCAATAGGGCCCGATCATGTGGAACCTCTCCTCCCGGAGCCGGCGATCATGGGGTTTGAGCTGCATGGCGTTCCACATGGTCCGGATGGCCGGAGGGACCTGCTTCCCTGGTTTGCGCAGGAACGCCATGAGATCTCGGAGCTTGGAGCTTGGTGTCCTTGAAGCGGTTGGGCGCCTGGAGCTCGAAGCACAGCGGCATGTTGCAGAAGAGCTTCATCACTGCCTGGTACTCTGGAGCGAGGTTGATGCCCGCCGCCGCCAATTCCTCGTAGCTGGAGATGAGCGACACCTTGCCTCCCGTCGGCTTCAGCTGCAGGAAGTCCCCCGGGTGGATCACGATGGGCATCCGGCCGAAGGCGCCGCCGACCTGGTCGTACTCCCGCTCCTCCGCGCCCCACTCGGCCTTGTGTCCCAGGTAGGACCGGAACGCCAGCATGTTGTACAGGTTGGGCGAGATCATGCTCACCTCCTCCAAGATTAAGCACCTGACCGCCGCCTCCCACGTGTCCTGCAGCGCTTTCAGCTTGCCCCCCGCCGGGGCGACGCTGACTGAGTTCCCCCCAATGGCCGCCTCATGGATCGCTGCTGGCTGAGACCGTCGTGGCCGCGACGGGCCTCCGAAGGCCAGAAAGCTTCGAGCCTCGATCCTCGAGGTTCGCACTTCAAACCTCGACGTGAACACTCGAAAATGCCGAGGCACCCCTGTTAGCCTTTCCAAACGAGAACGCCTTCGGTGGAGCCTCTATGGGGCCACGAGACGTGTGAGGGGTGTGCCGAAACGGGTGTGCGGGGCGCATGCGGGCACACCCACTTGAACATTCGGTGGAGCTCCCTATGGGCCCACGAAACGTGTGAAGTGTTCGTGTGTGTGTGTGTGTGTGCCGAAATGGGTGTGCGGGACGCATGCGGGCACACCCACATGAACCTTAGGTGGAGCTCCCTATAGGGCCACGACACGTGTGAGGGGTGTACCGAAATGAGTGTGCGGGACGCAAGCGGGCACACCCATCTTCGGTGGAGCTCCGTATGGGGCCACGAAGCGTGTGAGGGGTGTGCCGAAATCGGTGTGCGGGACGCATGCGGGCACACCTACTGGGACCTTCGGTGGAGCTCCCTATGGGGCCACGAAACATGTGAGGGGTGTGCCGACATGGGTGTGCGGGACACATGCGGGCACACCCACTGGGATTTTCGGTGGAGCTCCCGATGGGGCCACGAAACGTGTGAGGGGTGTGCCGAAATGGGTGTGTGGGACGCATGCGGGCACACCCACTTGGACCTTCGGTGGAGCTCCCTATGGGCCCACGAAACGTGTGAAGGGGTGTGCCGAAATGGGTGTGCGGGACGCATGCGGGCACACCCACTGGGAACTTCGGTGGAGCTCCTTCTGGGGCCACGTAGCGTGTGAGGGGTGTGCCGAGATGGGTGTGTGGGACGCATGCGGGCACCCCCACTGGGACCTTCGGTGGAGCTCCCTATGGGGCCAGCGGAGCTCCCGATGGGGCCACGAAACGTGTGAGGGGTGTGCCGAAATAGGTGTGCGGGACGCATGCGGGCGGCGGCACTGGGGCCTTCGGTGGAGCCCCTTATGGGGCCACGAAACGTGTGACGGGTGATGATGATGATGATGATGATGATGATGATGATGATGATGATGATGATGATGCTGATGATGATGGCAGCGATGATGATGGTGATGATGATGATGCTGATGCTGATGATGATGATGATGATGAGGAGGAGGAGGAGGAGGAGGAGGAGGCGGGTTATGATGACGATGATGGTGATGATGGTCGTGAGGATTATGACGATGATGGTGATGACGGTGATGATGACGACGATGATGATGATGACGATGATGATGGTGGGAGGAGGGAGGAGGGAGGAGGGGGAGGAGGAGAGGAGGAGAGGAGAACGCGGGGCGACGTCTCTTCAAAACGAGGACCCAACACCACAGGATGGTTGGGAACAGAAAAAAAACGCATGTGTCGAATTCGCGGAAGCATGCGCGCCCAGCGCACCCAGGAGAGCAGCAATGTGACCAAAATGTCGCTTGTAATACTCTAGCCAACACATGTGGATTTCAAAGTGTTGCTTTTGCATCATAAGCCATGCTTGTCCTCGCGCCCCATCGTCTGGCAATCGCAAAAACGAATGTTTGCGCAATTGCAGAAGCATGCATACCCAGGAGGGTGGAAAGTGACCGAACAATCTTGCGTTAAATTCCAGCCAAAGCATGCGGATGTCAATGTGTATTTGTTTGGCCTCGCAAGCAGTTTGTGTACTCGCTGGGCAGAGGCTTCAGAACGCTCAGGCGCTCGGAAGCCTCTGCGGAGCGCTCAGCCGAGCGCTCAGGCGCTCAGAAGCTCTGCAAAGCGCCCAGGAGCTCAGAAGCCTCTGCAAAGCGCTCAGGCGCTCAGAAGACTCTGCAGAGCGCTCAGGCGCTCAGAAAGGTCTGCAGAGCGCTCAGGCGCTCAGAAAACTCTGCAGAGCACTCAGGCGCTCAGAAAACTTTGCAGAGCGCTCAGGAGCTCAGATGCCCCTGCAGAAAGCTAAGGCGCTCAGATGCCCCTGCAGAGAGCTCAGGCGCTCAGACGCCTCTGCAAAGCGCTCAGAAGCGTCTGCAAAGCGCTGAGGCGCTCAGATGCCTCTGCAGAGCGCTCAGGCGCTCAGAAGCTTCAGAAGCCCGTGCAGAGAGTGCGCGCGCTTCTGAAGGCTGGCTGTAAAGCGGCCGCTCTGGTTGCGAAGAGCCCCGTCTGGGTTGTAAAGTGGTCGTTCTGGTTGTAAAAGTGGGCCGTTCTGGTTGTAAAGTGGTCGCCCTCACTCAAAGGAATACCAAGGAGTTCGATCATCCGCTGGTTGTGTAAAGTGACCTATCCTGGTTGTGCAATATTTTTCGGGCTGTAAAGACACCGACTCTCCCCCCGGTGGTGGTGGTGCTGCTACTGCTCCCCCCCCCGCTGCGCCGCGCTCTCCGCCCGCTGCCGCAGCCCGAGCAGCGCCTCCGCGGCTGCGGGCCCGCTGCTCGCGCCTGGGCCGCCCCGCCCCGACCGGCGCCGCGCCCCCGGGCCGCCTGCGCCTGCCGCCACGAGCGGCCCCCCGCTGCCGGGCGGCCCGCTCGGGCGCGGCGGCGGGGCGGCGGCGGCCGCCGCGGCGCCGGCGGGGCCGAGGGCCGACCCGCCGCCGCTAGGCCGCCCGCTCGGGCGCGGCGGCGGGGCGGCGGCGGCGGCCGCCGCGCCGGCAGGACCGACGCGCGGCGCGGCCGCCTCTCTTTGGGGGGCGGGGGCCACGGGGAGTGGAAGAGAGGGAAGGGCGGAGCGAGGCGGGGTGGAGGATCCCAGCGCCCGAAGTGTTGGGCGCGCCAAGGCGTTCTGTCGCCCAGGTCCGCCCCCGCCCCCCGGGAGCCCTCGCTGGGCGGCCCGGCGGTCCGAGAGATGCCGCAGAAAGATGGTGTCCAGGGCCCCGCGATCGTGATGCGTCAGAATGTTTTTGGGGCGACGTCGCACGTCGCGGCAGGAGTAAGGGCCAGGTCGTCCAGCTTCGAGAAAACGCACTTCGCGCGGAGCGCGAGAGGCGACGGTATCTCCGCGCTCTGCGGCCCATGCCGCGCTGCGCGACGCGCGGTCATCTCCGCACACCTGCGCGCCACCCCCGCGGGTGGCCTGGAAGAGCTGGGAGGGTGAACCCTCGAGGAAGGTATGGAGAGACATGACGAAACGAACCGTAGAACGCAACTCACAAAAGCTTTTGGACGCCACCATGGCGCTCAATGGCGCGCCCAATCGCGCGCAAAGCGGACATACTGCATCTCCCTTGCATGCTGCTATGGGGTGCGAGTGGTCGCTATCGAGCGCAAGATGACGCTATTCTACTCTACTGTGCGCTATTGGGCACCATTGAAGGCTATTGGGCGCTATTCGCCGACACGCAGTTGATCCAATACGAGCGGAGATGCCCTCGATGAACACCTGAGAACCCAGCTGCAGCGCAGACGAGCGACGAAGGCGGCTACGACGACGGCGGCCATGAGATTGTGCTGCTAACATTTCCGGCAGCGGTCGTTACCAGGGGGGGCGGGTACCAGTGACGCCTGGGCGAGGGGCACGTCGGGGCGGGGGTGCGCTGCGATTGCCACAGTGTGCGCGCGGGCATCCGCATGTGGGGGAATCCTGCATCCCCTGGGGGGGCCCTTGGCTCCCGAGTCCTGGACCCTGGAATCCTGGCTCCCGGGATCCGCCGGTGCCCGTGGCCTGGAATCCTGGCTCCCGGGATCCTGGCTCCTGGGATTCCGCATGCGGCGGGATCCTGGATCCTGGATGCGCCGGGGGCCCGCCTTCCAGTGGCCTGCGTCGGGGGCCTGGCCTCCAGGCCCCCGGCGCAGGCCACGGGCACCCGCGGCGGGAGCAAGCGGCGCGACTGCGGCCTCCGCTGGCGGCAGGCAAAGGCCGGAAGCCACGCCGCCCGGGCCCGCGGCGGGACGTGTCCCTCGGGATCCGGGCTTGACGCAGCACGGGTCGCGACGGCTGCCCAGTGAGTCGAAAGTGAGCCTGGTAACTCAAATAGGGCATATAGCCTGGCAAATTGCATCCATCGCTCTGCTGTGAAGGTACAGTATGAGGGGTGGATGGGTAAGATAGGATAAGATCGATGTAATGATCTTTCCAGCACATAGCGAACACTCGCGGTGTCCGGGCAAATAGGGCGCGCGTGCCTTGAGCCCAAGGCAGCGGCGCGCGAGCTATGCTCCCGATACTGTAACATCTCCCAAAGAGCTACCCTTAAAGTCGGGAGGGGAGGAGACGGAGAGCATAGTCGCACGCAAAGATCGCGCGCACGACTGTTTGCAAAGAAAAGAAAACAGTGCGTACAGTCTGGTCAAACACCAGACTGTAAGGCGAGTTTCCTCGCAAAGTATTTCACGCAAATACAGGACAGCCCCTTCAAACAATGAAGGGCTATCGGCTTAGTTAGAGGTAAGCCAAAATTAGGCCATACCTCACCAAGCAAATGTGTATCAAGGCAAAGAGCCTGAGTTGTACGAAGCCGGCTCGTTGCCAGGCGTGAAATATAAGGCTCGTTTCCGAGCAGCTAAAGGGGCGCCTTTATAGTAGGCGCCCGTGCTGGCAAACTGGACCGCGAGGGCAACAAGGACAGACTAAAATTGATTAGACTTGGGTTTGTCTCTGTCCTCGGGACCCCGAAAGGGAACAAATTGCTTCACGTCATACTTAAATGACTGAGTGCCTGACATCACTTCCAGAAGCAGCTCCCGATCGATGCTTCCCTTTGTATGCCCATCTGCGGTCATATCCCTAGTATCACACCATTGCACATTATGTACTATACCTATATCCATGAGCTCACGTATCCAGCTGATATGTCCAAGCAGAGTCCGTTCTGTAGGTATTTTGAGATCCCTGCTTGATAAAGATTTGTAGACGGACTCAGCGTCTATGGTAAGAGAGACTTTGATAGCAAGGCCTCCAACTTCACGCATGTCTCGTAGTTGTCGTGGAGTCAAAGCCCCTGCCTTAAGCTCGTGGAGAGTAATGAGCGTAGGGTAACACTCATCAAAGTTATGTGCGGCTGCAAGTGCCTCCACAGCATAACTGGACCTCACCTGTAATCGGTGTGATTTGCATAGTCCGTCACAGAGGTGAACGACGGACTTGCCTTGAGGCGAGTTTCCTCGCCGTAGTACGTTGGCCCCGCGTATGCCGTAGCCCTTGGTCTCGTCATCCTCCTCCCCGGTAAGCTTCCGATACCCCGAATCGCTATGGATGTCAACTTCATTCGTCGGCTTCATCCGAGGGAAGGTGATACGTTTCGGGCTGCTGATCAGCTTTCGCGTCACAGCATTCAAACGTCTGACTTGCAAATTGGTGGGCTCTTGAATTTTCTGAAGAGAGACCACATATACCATGAGCCAGATTTGGGTAAGAAGGGCATAGGCGAGGGCTCCTCGCAGGCTGACGAACATGTCGGTAATGAGTTTCGTGGCTTTGGCGTCGGCCGCCGCTCCTGTAAGTTCTGGGTGTGTGATAGGACGTAGTTGTTTGATGTACTCGTCCTGGTCCATGATCACATCTCCCTGATCATTCTTAGTGTAGCGAACGGCGCAGTTCGTATATGTGTGCTTGTTGAGCTTGCATTTGCCAAACACCTTTTCGACGCGTTGTACATAGTCGTCTATATTTTTCTCTAGACCTGTCATATTAATATCATCGACATGTTTTGCCGTCAGAAGGTCTTGGCTGAATTCAAATTCAGGATCGTAGCTGGTCGGTGTAAGTCCTATAGCTCGTGTGGTCGTACGAAGTTTGAGAGAGAACGCTCTTGGAGCGTCCTTAGTACCCGTTCCTGGTTTAAGGCATCTAAGACAGCGTCGACTTTCGTCGTAGGATGAGAAGCCGGGTAATGTACGAAGTACCAGAGCGCTTCCTGGTGGAAGAGTAAAGCAAACCATGCGAGTTTCCTCGCCGGTGGCATGGGCAAGTTCCTCATAGGTCAAACCCTTGGGGAACGCCTTATCGATATCCATAGATGCTAAGATCCACTCTGGATGGCATGCCGCTTCACTTGCCAGGAGTCGTTGGGACTGCCTTCGGGCGGTTCCCGAGAATGTTTCCACATCAAAAGCCTCAGTATCCATAAATCCACGAAGGACCAGTCTGAGACGAATGGTTTTAACGTTCTCGGTACCCATCTTTACGAACTTCCACTTGTATACATATCTGGACGTCATGATGTTGGAAGCTTTGGATAAATCGTACATCTCAAAGCATCGATTATCAATCCAGATTTTGAGCTCAGTATATAAGGCTTCACTAACCTCCTTTGGATGTGCTGCTATGTCGGCTTTGGTTAGTAGATCATCTTCTTTGACAACCACAGCACGTTTAGCAGCAGAGGATACATATACTCTCATCGTTGCGACCATATCGGTATCGAGCTGTGCAAGTTGAGTCTGATCCAACACTATTTTAGACATTTCTGATGTAAAGCATAGTTCAACGTAAGGACCGTATTCATCACTGTCTAGAGAGTAGCTCTCGTCGGCTGTGTTTGAACAAAGAGAGACTAGACAGGACTCACATGATTTCGGCTCGTCTCCGAGCATATCTGATGATATAATATCATCTTCGTCCACAAATGCTGAAACCAAAACACACTGGTCGGGCAGCATAGTTGTTGGGACGCAATAAAGATAATCATCGGTAATCGTCGTAGGATGAAGGTCCATACGTAGCTCGTCGTACCACTCTTCCAGCATCATAGCTTCAATATTGTGTTCCTCATTTTCCTCATAGATTGTCGACAGACGGCCTTCGCTCGGCGATGAAGCGTCTGGTGTGTCTGGAGAAGGCCTGTTTCCAGGCGACTCGTGTTCTCCAGACGTGTTGCTTGGATGCTGATATTTAGCCAAATCGTCGTGAAATCCTAAGGAAGGGACACGTGAAGTCAAGCATTGAATAAGTCTGGAGTGAGTGCTACCAGTGATCTGAGAAATGTTTAAGCCAGTGCCCACGCATTCGTAATAGTGGAACGCCGGGCTGATGTCGTTGTCATAGTGGATCAGCGTAGACCCGGTGGCGTACTTTACTGCAGGTAGGCTTGACACACTCTTAGCCAATCGAACTGCTACTACATGTTCTACTCGGAAGTAATTCCGTACGAGATACTGTAGTGCTAAGTGTACGCGCGGGTGAAACTTGCTGTCGTCTGACAGATTAAGGTTTCCCTTGTAATCGGGGATATACCCGAAAACTTTGGCAGGTTTCCCTGCGCTGAGGTGTGCCACATAAGCAAGGACGGTTTGCATGGCCATATTATCCATGCCAAGTTCCCGTGTGAGGAGACATTCGATGTATAGTGTGTGACGAGCATCAGGATACATCACAATTACCTCACGAGATCCTGCCTTGACAACAATATGTCCTCTTTCAGGCACGTTTCGGATCACCGGGAATGGGCCGTTCCAGCCTCCATGGTCGTCCTTGGTGGCAGTAGGTCGGTGGTAGTCGACCAAATCCCCTGATGAGTAGAGGCGAGCACCATCAGGAGTCGTCTTAGCCCTAAGAGCCCGATTTGTCTTGGCTACAG